CTGGAGGGCCTTCACCTCAACCTGCTCAGCCTGGTCCGGAGGATGAGGATGGTCCACAAGGTAAAGGCAAGGCTCCCCCTCACCGCCCCCAGCCACCCAGCCCTGAGCCTCCAGGCTTTGGCTCATCCAGCCTTCCCCTCGGTCACCATGCTTGCTTTCCCCCCGTCCTCTCCCCCCCCACCGTTAGCAGCCAAGGCCCCGCTGCAGAACCAGATCCCTCCCCCGGCGAGCATCCCAACGGCTGTTTTTTCCCCCCTTACAGGCACCCTGTCCCGCAGCAGCAGGCAACACTACTTCACTGAGAAACTTCCTCATGGACTTGCGCAGAGTCCTCCAACGATTAGTGAAAACTAGAGGATGAAGTGAAAAAGAGGCTTTTTTTTCTTTTTAAGCTATAATGACACTGTATTTTTCAAATATTATTTATAATAATTCTTTAAATAAATGTATTTTTGGACTAAATTTGCTGGCATTGCACAAGATGGTCCTTGGCCAGGAACTGGAGGGCAGAGGAGGCTGCCTGCTGGAGCACGGGGCTGGGACACGGCTGGCAGCACCCAGGAGCCGAGGAGCACCCAGCTCTGGGGGAAAGTGGCTCAGCCTCTCCCAAGGGCAGCCCAGAAGCAAGAGCAAGAAACTGCAGGGCAGAAAGGGCAGGTATTTTCTACCCAGGTTGCTCAAAGGGGCAAGTTTGAGTGGGTTGGAAGCCAGGGCTCAGAGTTGAGAGAGCAGAGCAGCAACAGGTTCCTAGCTGGGACTGGGGGGGGTTAAAGCCGCGCAGTCAGAAGTCGTTTTTGTTACTTTGCCACAGAAGTTGCAAGAAATACGCAGGGCTACAGTGGACAGAGTCCACGGGCACAAGGGTGGTGCTGGCCAGAGTGGCCAAAACCAGTCATCTGTGCTGCTGCAGGGTCGAGGCTTGTGCTAACACCCAGAAATCTGCTCCAAGCAGAGCAAAAAGCCCAAGAGAAGCCAGACCTGGAGCCAGCCCACCACCAGGGCCCGTTTCCGAAAGTGGAGAGCTCAGGAGTATGCACTGAAGTGCAAAAGGGAGCAGCCAGGCCGGTCACTCAGCAGCCCCTCAGTTCCCCCCTCGCTTCCAGCCTGGCCCTGGAGCAAGGAGGCAACAGCAGCGAGAGGAACAGCACCAGGCAGCGAGACCGCACCGCTGCAGGGGTGACTCCCGGCTGCGGCAGAGCCGGGGGGTGGCTGCAGCCTTCCTCCAGCACCCAGGGACTGGCACCCGGCAGGTATTTTGGTGTTTACCATTTCACAACTTTGGCACAGCGTGGGAGAGCGCTTTGGAAAGTCCCAGGACAGCGCGGGGTTTGGTTCGCGCATCAGCTGAGTCACAGCGCTCGGGGGAGCTGCGAACTTCGCAGACCACAAAAACCTGGTACCTGCTGCGTGAGCAGCCCGAAACGCCTTCCAGGGGACGACACGCGCCGCAGGCCGACGGCCCGACACCATCTGTGCAGAGGAAACAGTGCTGAACTTTTCCAGCTATTGCAGGTAAACTCACACCGTCTGTGTGATGAACGCAGGTGGGGACAGGTTTCCACGCAGCACAAGGACACTTGGAGCCCCAACAGTGTGAGGAGCCCTCTCCCCATCAGCTGTACCACCTCGCAGTGCCCATATCTGAGAAGAGGCAGAGCATGGGCAGCACCAACTATTTTGGTGGAGAAGCAGCTGCTGCAGCTCAGCTGGGCTCTCCTTCTCCCCCCGGGGCAGCTCAGCACAACCCCGGGCAAAGGGTGGGCTTGAATGAGGGGCTCATCAGCCCCTCGGGGCACACAGAATCACAGAATCACAGAATAGTAGGGGTTGGAAGGGACCTCTGTGGGTCATCTAGTCCAACCCCCCTGCCGAATCTTCCTCATGTTCAGACAGAACATCCATGATCCACACACCGGCCTCATCCCACCGATCCTCTCCGGAGTCTTGCAGAGCACCCTCCCGCTCTGCCCTGTCCACCTCTTCACGGGAGCTTGCTGCCTGCTGCCCCGGGGCTCGGCAACGGGGGTCCCCACGCACCCCAAACCTGATTCTCTAACCCCTGCAGCAGGCACCACGCACCCCACCCCACCTACCCTTCCCACCACATCTTCCGACCCGGCCGCGCTGCGAAGGTGCCGTACGCGTCACGTTCTTTCAAACAGGCGCAGAGGCGGAACTAGGAACCAAGGATTTTATTTCATGGTATGAGCATGCTCCAGGGACACAATACTGATATATACAGTGTCATTAATAAAGTTTAATCATAAAACAAAAGAATAAGTCAGACATAAGAGTTAGAAAACCAATAAATAGGAGGACAAATTATACACACAGGCTAGCGGTTTTTCCTATATACAGGCCTGGCTAAGCGGCACCGTTGAGAAAGGTGAAAGCTGGACACGTGCAGACAGTGTAAGTCAGTGAAAGGCACTAAGGACTAATTTTCCCCTCCTCTTAAAGCAAGGATAAGGAACAAGTTAAATATGAAATAATTCATTTATACAACATTAAACAACATAAAGCCTCAAAACCCTCAATGTTGAGGTCGATGTTCTGGAATGAGGGGAATCTTCTGGGAGCAAGATGCAAAGATGAGCACACACACCACCTGTATTCTGGTAGCACAGAGTTTGACACAGACCACAGAGCACCTGCTGACCTGGGAGAACAGCCACATCAAGCTCTCAAAGACCCACACAAACCAAACCCCTTCCTCATTAAAACGTGCTGAGGACCCCTTAGACATCCGCAGCTTGTCCAGGGCTACCGAGAGGGCCCACACAGCAAACCTGCCAGCCAGACTCCCTGCTGCTAACAAAGTTCCCAGCACCCCAACAAACACCCCAGCTACACGGCAAGCCAAGCTGACGGAACGTCAGGACCCTGCTAGCGTTCCGCTTACAATGAAGGCCTCTCGCCAGAGCAGACGACGCGTTCTCCGAGCCCCCGTAACAGGAGATCACAGCCAGTTTCTCCAACCTGCCAAAGGTGTGCAAGCAGATATCTATTAAGGGTTTTCTCTGCCCCAAGGCTCACAAATATGTAGCATACTGTTGTTTTCAGCAGCAGCACTACCATTAATCAAACCGTAAAGCATACGCCTTTATAGTCAAGTTTTACATATTTCAAATGCAGTGTCATGGTTCACAGCAGTATCTTTCAGCCACTGATGTCTGTCAGGCAAAAGGATTCTCAGTCTTTTTGAAAGCACAGTTCAGGAGAAACTCCCTTAAAAAGAGATCACCCCACAAATCTTAGCACAAGATGCCGTAACGAAGGGAAATGCAGCCGCCATCCCTGGCTCTGAGACCTGGCACAGCCCAACCCCTGCACCTACCTGCAGGGACTGCAAACTGACAGCGGGCCTGTGGCAAGGCAGAGTTTGAGCTGTTGTCTGTCCGCCACGGTCGATGAGCAGTGTGTAAGGCGAGATACCCCAACCCTATCCAAGCACATTCAAAGGAAGGTCAGCGCTTCCAGAGCAAAACCAACTACAGCTGAGGTCAGACAAAAAATCTGAGTATTGACCTCTAATCACTAGGCTAGAGAAAACAAATGCCACTGTTTGGATCTTGTATGAACTTAGGTGACAAAGCCAGATCTTGTATGAACTTAGAGGTGACACCTCCCCCCCAGAACAGAGGGCAGTATGTTCTTCTCCTAGGTCATGATCCTGAAAAACACATTTAAAAAACAGGGAAAAACTTACAACTCATTTAGAGTAGCACTGAATATATCTCCAGAGCAAAATACACCCTTACAAGACCAGTTTTAACTATCAGAGATCCTGTTACAGACCTGTTAGAGTCACAAGATACATCCAGTTATGCATCACGACAGCAAAAAAGGGGATACCAACTTCTAACTACTCCGAGTACTTCACAAGAATGTTCTGATAATTGCAAACGCAGCTACTAGCAAGTACTCAGGACAGCTAAGGAGCCGTCTCGTTCTTTGTCATGCTGAAGGACTCAATTTCTCCTACTACTAATCACAGCTTTTTAAACCTCTAGGTAATGCTACGATTACACGAAGTTACAGGTAATTACCACCACCCTGGCATGGGACCTGCTCAGATGCCCGCAGCTGATGTGCTCCGGCATGAGTTACAAAGCACACACAACCCAAAGCAGATGCATTTTCTGTGACACAAAAGCAACGTACTAAAGTGATATGTGTCCATTAGCAGCATAAATATCAAAGGAAAAGAGCAGCCACCACAAATAAATGGTTATGATCAGAGAGCAGAATTTTCTTCTTCTCAGAGCACAGCCAAAAGCCCAAGATGATACAACCGACACAGGAACACAAACAGCACCAGCTATTTCAGGGGATGTTACCCGTCTGGGAAAACTGGGCAATTCCTGCCTGTTCTAACACAGGAGAGTCCGATTCACCCTCAGTTTAGAGCAGTGCTCTGTGCCCTTGTAGCCAGGGATGAGAAAGAGGAGCCACAATGTTCACGGTCCCAAGGCTGAAGCCAAGTCCCAGTATCACAGCACTCCCCTTAAATAATCTCTGCTGTTCAGATTACAAAAGAATTCACATACATTTAAAAAATTCCGTATCAGAAGCATAAAAAGAAGCCAAAGCAATGCTGCAATACAGCCTTAAAAGGGGGAAAAATACCTTCTTTTGCCTTTGCATCAAAGGCCTCCCCCTCTCCACAGCGCCAGCAGACCACACGCAAATGGGCAAAGACACAAGCACTGCTTCGACACACGCTTGTTTTCTGTTGCACTTAAACTGAGCATGGTCCCCTCCCAGAAGTCTCAGACTTCTGTAGTTCGTGTTTCTCCTACCCACCTACTCACTTTGCACAGCAGGACAGCAAAAGCAGGGAAGAGGCCTGTGTATTTGATACACAATACGGTCAGGTTAACAGCCACAGCGAGGAATATTTAAATAAAAGGAGCTGATGCTCTTCATTCAAAAGTTTGCAGCAACCACATTCCAACACAGATCAGTGCAACAGAGGACAAAAGTGAAAGCTGCCAGTTATGTGCAAAGCAGGGCGTAAGTCAGATTTACCAGCCTTAAACTTTAGGATTTCATCAACCGTTTTGAGCTAACATGCCTAGCGCTTGAGCACACATCTAGAACCCTTCTTTTCTAGACATTTAAACAAGGATCACCAACAACAGTTTCCCTGCACAACACTTTTAACACACGGAATTTCACAACCATCACACATACCAGTTTAATATTATGTTAATATAACATACAATAGATGGGCAACTAAGCAAAAATATTTTTTTATATAATAAAGCTCCATACCAGCAAGGCATGGATTTTATAGCCATATCAAACTGTGCCATCTCTTGAATTCCATATTCTGGCCAAATCTTACACACTCATTGATTTTTTTTTATGGCAATTCTGAACAGGTCACACCTACTGCAGCAGAGAGTCAATGACGGCTCCTGGCTTTGCCGAACGTTTTCTGTTTGGAGAGCAGAAAGGAAAGGGGAAAATAACACCACACACATCATTAGGCTGCCTAGGAAAGACAGGGACCAGCCACATTTCAAATCAAAAGTACACAGTGTGACTCTTCTTCCTCAAGCACTTGTCAAAACCAACCAAACAAAAACAACCAAGAAAACCCATGCTGAAATCTCCCCCAACAGCACATTACTTTCCAGGAACAACAGTAAATGCACTGTCAACGCATCAGATGTTGACCTGAACCAAAGAACACAGCAAAATAAAGCAAGAAGCCAGAAGGGAATGCAGCAAAAGGGCACCAGGAAAATCCCCAGACAAGTCTTCCTGGACAAGATTTTACTGTAGTAAAGAGATTTCAGCTTGGTTCTGTCACGCTTGGCATCGGTAAACTTCATACCGTGCAAAATTTTAGCATTTTGTCTACTCATTAGGCAAGTGTTTGAAGACTTTCGGTAGTTTGCATGCACAAACTTAAGCCTTCCCCTGGGTAAATCCCCCATTACGTATAGATACTCCAAAGTTCTTCACCTTCTACCCGTCTTGGGCCTGGATCTTCCTTTTGAGGTCCTCGGCCTCTCCAACTTCATCAGAGATTGCCTCAAACTTTCTTCAGTGTAAGCTAAGTAAACATGGGAAAGGTCCACTTCAAAGGGCTAAAGAACAAAAACCAGAAAACCCCAAACCATCAGAATAATTTTACACACTGATCAACAGCACTTCTATAACAGTAGAAAATCTCCTCCCATCAAAAGATAATCAGATGGAAACTGGACAGTTTCCCTACATTCAGAGGGACCTTGACAGGCTGGAGAGTTGGGCCTGCATGAACCGCATGAAGTTCAACAAGGCCAAGTGCAAGGTCCTGCACGTGGGTCCGGGCAATCCCAAGCACAAAGACAGGCTGGGTGGGGAATGGACTGTGAGCAGCCCTGAGGAGGACGACTTGGGGGTGTTGGTTGATGAAAAGCTGGCCAAGAGCTGGCAATGTACGCTTGTAGCCCAGAAAGCCAACCAGACCCTGGGCTGCATCCAAGGAAGAAAAGCTGTGGCTGCCCCCTCCCCGGCAGGGCTCAAGGCCAGGGTGGATGGGGCGGGGAGCACCCTGGGCTGGTGGAAGGGGTCCCTGCACCTCTGCAGTGCAATACATGCTTATAAAGAGTCACTCACATCTTTTTCTTTTTTATCCAGGACAGGCGTCTGTTTCCTCATATTGTTTCCTGTATATGCAACACATTTCTTAAAGGAAGAAAGGTCTGTTAGTAAAGTCTAAAACTGACTACAGCTTTATCAATTTACTTCTGGGCTCAATTAAACTCCTTCCTCAGAAGTTCATGCTAACGTTAGCTTGTACATCAGCCAGCAGGCCAGCTTACCAGCTGCCACTCTCCAATGTCTTCATTCCAGTGAACGTAGTTTTCAATCATTTCCTAGAAAGAGATTAGAGCAATAATCATTACAGACTTGCACAATCTACACTCTGGAGGCACTCTTCAGAACATACATCCCTAAAGGCCTGGATAAGCTGCTTGGGAACAGTCTTGACCATTCCCAGTTGTTCTTATGAGGCCAGCCACACCACGTTCAAAAGCCTCTATTTACACTCTGAAGACTACAGAGAGAAAAAACACCACTCCCAAATTGTATGCACTGGAGTGCCCACTACAGCATGGGTTTCCCATTATGCCAATGCTATTGGGATAGCAATAAACACATTTTACCATGGAAAACCTGAAAGACTAAGGGAAATAGCTTTTATATTTTCTATTAAATAGCATGTACCATATTTAAGCTCATCATGAATCTTCTGAACATCGGGGTCAAAAAGAAAACAACAAGGGAAGAGTTCCAAGTTCCATCTTACTAATTCATATTAATATCAGATACCTAAGCAAAACATCAAGCACAGTGGAAAAAATAGGTTTTGAACAGACCCATGGCATGGGCACACAGTGAATATACTGGTTAAATACATGGTGAATGTGATTATTTTTTTTAACCATTAGGAAAACATGGTGCAAGATATCCGAGATCGGTACATCCCTCTGCTTACAAGCCGGACACATTATACACTGCTTCCCTAAAACAGATTCCATAACAGAATTGCTGCCAAAGTTATCAAAACCCCCGAGAAATGCAACAAAGCCATTCTGCACTCATTCACATCATTGCACTGGTTTTGGAGCCAAATGCACCCCCTAACTGTGCTCTTCTTCCAACTGAACTTCAAGCAGAAGTCCACCAGGTTATACAAGTCACTTGACAAAAGTGTCTTTTCCTAGTGTAACGTCCCCTGTTCTAACAATCCAGCTAACAGCACAAACACATGAACACAACCAAGCTGCACCTGCTCAGCTGAGCCACAGCAAACAGGCTCACAGCAACACGGAGCACTCACTTGTGCTACAGCTTAGCAGACAAGCGTCAATCCGCTCACCGAGCGCCTCACGAAGGGAAAAGCAGCCAGCTCACTCCATCGGTCGGACAGGATAAAAGCTGGAGGGCTCAGCCCTACATTGCAGGCTTAGGTTGTGTCTTTACCTGGTAGTCCTGAGGAATGAAGTTGTCTATGATGAGCATCTGAAGACGAAGTTCCCTGCTCAGCTGCCGAATATTCTCTAGTAATCCTTCAATCTCCCTCTGATGCTCTTGCTGCAGATCTGCCATCTGAAGACAAACCAGGCATTTGAGAGGCATCAGAGCCAGCTTAAGACATGGTAACAGCCTAAAAGAGAACAGTCATCTGCCTGTATGAGGTTTTTGGGAGAGGAAAGCAAACTCATTGTTTATAAGTACGAGAATATTTTTCTCTGAAGAATAAACCCGCTGCAACGTTCCAGCTCAGAGATGGCTACAAATAGCATTAAGTTCTCAGTTTCATAAAAATGAAACTGGCCTTCTGCCAGTCCAAGCTCCGCACCAGCTAAGAGCGGATGAAGAGTGTGCAGACAAGTTATATCCCTGGCAAGATTTCAAGGAAAATCTCTGACTCCAAAGACAAAACGCACTTTTTATGCAACAGGAACTCTAAATACCAGCCAAAGGACACATTGATCCAGCGTGACTGAGGGAGAGCTAAAGGCAACAGGCAGAAGAGACAGACAGCTAAGAGCAGGGGAGCATTTGGGCTGCTGCAAAGCAGGAGTTTGAGCTGCCAGCAAACAAGTTCAGGGGAAGAAAAAAAAGTTTATTTCTAGAACAGAAGTTCTGAATATCTTGGGGTCTCACACATGTCCCCTCAGCCTGGCTTGGGGAAAAGCTCTACAACACACCCCTGTGAAGCTCTGACACCAGACTCAGATCTTTGGGTTACCTGAGCCAGATGTGCAGCACAGACATTTCTAAACCTACGGCACTTTTTCCAGCGTTACCAAGCTGATGCTTACCCTTCCCAGCTATAGTCTCTCACACCATCACAGGCTGAGGACTTCAGAACTTCAGACACTAACCTCTGATTTTGCAGCCATAAGCATGGTCCAAACTTTCTTCAGCTTTTTGGTTTTCCCCTGTGCTTCTTCCTGGAGGCTAGTGTACTTCTCCTCGATGTCTAAGCGTTCTTGCTGTGTGCAACATTTAACACAGACACCCACACATTAACATACTCAAAGAAATTACCTGCAACAGTATGAACGAGAGAAGCTACTTTGACAAAACAAAGCATTTGCCAAGGGCCTGGAGACCCGGCTTAGCCAGGCTGGCTCAGACCCGCAGTGATGACACTGCCAACACGTGGCCCCTGAAGCAGTTAGCTCCTGCTGTGCTTCCAGAGCAGAGCCACATTTCACCCCCGTGAGCAACGCCAAGGCACACAACATGGTGTGTCCTGCCACTGCTGCTTTCAGACAGCTGCAGCTTATAACCCCACCTCCTTCTCCTCACGAAGCTGTTCCGCTCTCTTCCTTCGCTCTTCCAGTTCCATATTTGATTCTTCTAGAAGCTTCTCTTGCTCCTCTGCTTTTGCCAGCAAGTCCACTCCTCCCACAATCACCTTCTTCTCCAAAGCAGACAGTTTCTCCAGCAGGGACTGGTGCTCTTGTCTAGCGAGACAGGTAAGTGTAAAACTTCCCATCCCACAGTGCGCGCAAGGCAGCAGGTCCAGCTCAGTTTTACAGCCCAGACAGCATTCACAGGGCTGGAAAAACTTGTCTTGCTGCCAAGGGCTTGAGTGGGGGTGAGGCAGTGCAAATATAAAGGGAGTTCCCTGAGCTCCAGCTCCCACCGCTTTCTTGCGAGCAAAGCCAGGTCAGCAGAGAAGTCTCTGTGCTGTGAGTTCCCTCTGTGAGGGGCTGCAAGGCACCAGCAATATTACCAGGCTACCAAGGCCCTGCCACCACAGCAATGCCCAGAGGCAGCTGCAGAAACAGAAGCGAGTGAACAGAGATGAAGGCAGAGCAGCTGAGAGGCAAAGCAGGAATTCTGGCTGCTGTTGGCTGACAGCAGGACGGTCCTACCTGCATGGGCCAGTGATCTCCACAGCTTTTCAGCTCCAGAGAGGAGAACCCCACACCCAGAATTAATTGCATGCTCGTGATGGTGTGCTGCAGGAAACCTGGCTTGCTACACAGCTACTGCCCACTGACCAAGCGGTACAGGAGTACAGCTCCTCACAGGTCTCCAGGGTTTCAAGGACTCACTTATGTTTCTAGGCTATCTTGCACAACTAAAGTCTCCAGAGAAGAAGTGGCAAAAGGATAAAGTTTGTCTTTTCTATCTGCTCTAAACTCTGAAAGCAGAGTAAGCTCCTCTCGCTTTGACACTAGCAAGAGCTGATGTTAAGTTCATACACAGTCTGACAGGCACCTCACCATGCATCTCCAGACATCCATAACTGATCTCTAGATTCAGGCAGAAAAAACCCACACAACCACACGAACTGCTCAGAGCAGGGTACTCACTGAGCTTTAAGCAAGTCTTTTTCTCTCTTCTCCAGTTCAGCTCTGGCTTTATTTCTTTCTTCTTCTTCCATATCAAGCTTAGTTTCAAGAGCTTTTCTCTCCTCTTCGATCTTTGCTTGCATCTCTACCATCTTATCAGGGGAAACTTTCTTTTTGCCTTTGGAAAAGATAGGGAAAACAAATTAGTTCAAGGAAAAATAAGACAGCCTCTGCATCACAGCATTTTTACCAAGTTCAGATCCAAAACCAGCATTTCACAAAAACTAATTTAGATGTCAGCTCCAAGCTGGGCACAACTCAGTCTTTCAAATCCTGTTTTAACATTGACCAGTTGTCACCAGTTGCTACAGAGAAGGAAGGCTGTACAACTAACACTGTAACATAATGCCCCCAAAATGGAAAACATACGAAGAACAGTTGGAGAAGGAACACTGCCTAAAGAGAAGCCTGAGCTGGAAACTCCGACGTTCTAACTCCGCAGATTAGCCCAAATGGAGGAGAACAGAAGACTGCAGCTACAAGAGCTAAACTACCAAGAGTTAAATAGAGTCAAATTTCAGATTAGCATCCCCACCACACCCCTCGTGCACTGCCCGCCTTACAGGCTTACCTACTGCAAAGGCAGCACGTAGATACTTTAAGAACGTACTGCTATAAAAATACAGATACTAGGGAAATTCACAACAGCCCTATGAAAAAAACAGGCAATTAAAGAAACTTTTTGATGGTATTCAATCTATCTAACAGTGACCACCCGCAGATTTGAAAGCACTGAGGGTTGCTGCGACTTCTCAATCGTGCCTTTACAGTGTAACTACTATCACAGCAAGCCAGGTACATTTCATGGAGGGTTACAAAGAAAGTTGCCAGAGCAACTCATGGAGCCTATCAGCCTGAAGGGCTGGACCCAAAAACCTGCAACTTTGAAACAAAGCGTGAGGCTGCTGCTGTTGGAAGTCACTCCACAAGTCTTGAGTCAGCTTTAATTGTAATCTCAAGAGTGCCTAAGGCAGGTGAATAGAGATCCCTGGGGGTTATTCTGGAGTGAGAGACAGCCCAGTGCATTCCCTCAAATCCACAAGTCTCCCACAAGTCCCAAGTCTCCCTTTATTCACTATAAGCAAATCCTTCATTTTCTTGTTTTGCTCTTCTCCAGACATAACCCCGCCACCCTCCCACAGAATCCAGAAGCCTAGAATCCAACAGAAGCCATCAGCCACCAAGGGACTGCTTTCCACCATGACATAATGTGTATGGTCAGAACATGCTCAAGTTGGTCAATAAAAGGCTCCCCTTCCCTCCAGTCCTCACGGCATTCAGCTTTACTTACATACACGACCTCTAGCAGACAGACAAAGTGCACTGTATTTGTAGACATGCATGCACATACGTACGTATCTGTATGCATGTTTGTTCATGTACACAACAGAATATAATCAGGTTTGTGGCAAGGTAAGGACTTCAGCACTATAGCAAGCTATGTCTTAGTTTCCATCTGCTAAACTCAGAAATCAGATAAGCACTTATTTCTGGATCTGTGGTGAAAAAATCTCTAATTAGTCTGAGTAAGAAGCTTTCTGAAAGTGCTATACAGACATCATAATACAAAAAGAGATAAGCCAGATAAAAGCTTCTTACTGTTAGTAGGCAGCCCTATATATTCTTAGTTTAGGAGAAAAAGGTGAACTAAACCAAGTTGTAAGACCCTTTTGCAAGCTCTGCAATTGTATTATAAGGAGATGGAAAGCAATTACACCAACCTGCTTGATCTTGCATTAAGAGGAAGTAGAAAGCAAGTCACAGAGAGGCAGCATATGCATAAAAGAGGAGGAAAGAAAACATGTTATTGCTTTGATCACTTTGGACAAAGATCATCAGCATCAGAACAAGCATTAATTTTATATGCATGTTTCTGGAGTAAAAAACACAGGATCACCATCACTAAAAAACTCCATCAGAGCAAACATTAATGCATCACGATTTTATGCTAAAGCAGAGAAAGTTTCTGTACTTCAGGGTGCTTTGCATATCCAGGATAATCTTCAGCTCGCTCTTGCATTCTTCTGCCCATTCAATGCAATGCAGAATCTAAATGTAACATTATCAGCCTGCCGCAAAGATCATGCCCTACGAAACAATTAAAGGGGGTAGATTTCTTCTTCAGTAAGAGACTTCATGCTTCCCCCCCTCCACCCCCCGCTCAAGATAGCCAGTTCTGTAGCATTACATGTAAAATATTAGCATACAGAAGACTTGTTCTAAGTTTTAACCAAGTTTCCAAGCCAATTCTTTGCAAGATACATGACAGTTGCACACAGGGAGTCTCAGCACAAGATTTCTCCATTTAATTACAGAGGGTATTAGTAGGTTAATTTGCAGTAACTGATGCTTCCATAGAGGTATATAGCCAGCTTTGGTTACTCAAGCAAGCGCAGCAAAAAAGGCAGGACAGGAAAGGGATGATGAAAGACACCACATGCAAAAGGGCCACGCTCGAGGACAGTTAATAGCCCAAACCAGAGCCACACTTCTAATGACCAGAAGTCCAGCGCAACTTCCACAACAGAGCTGTCTCCAAACTTGGAGGAGATGGACTCAGCCGGCCACTGCCACATCAGCAGTTTGCTATTAACTGTCCTCATCCAAATACAACATTCAGGTTTCAAGCAAGCTTTGAAAGAGCAAGTTTGATGCAAGCAGATTTCCAAGCCCACCATCATACGACCCACCAAAGGTCTCCCTTAGGTTGTGACCCTACCACACTTTGAGCTGACGCTTTCCACTAATGTAACCAGCATAAATTTGATTGAAGTGTAACTGCGTAACAACACTCTCCAGACTCTCCACAGAGGAGGAGAGCAGACTGCATCTATACAGGATAACCACAACAGTGGGTGAAGTCCCTACAAGACAAGTCCTGAGATGTGAACTATTTCTTCAGTCATCACTGACTGCAGGGTTTTCAAAGGGACAGAACCCTCTCTCTGCCCAGGAGCAGACCAGACTTTCCTCACTGCTAGACCAAAGTCTGGATCCCTTGCTCCTCTGAACTAGGTCCCACAGTGACCAACCACTTGATGTCATGGGGCAGTTGTTAAAAACCCAACCACCACCAAGGATTTTAAGTGTCTGCCAAAATAAAGCCGATCAACCAAGCATTACCATGTTTTCCTTGCAAGTGTAAACCTCATGTTGCTTGATTGTGGACTGCTCCATTCACTTTCTCCAGAACTAATTTTGAGAAGGCAGAGTCCAACGTAACACAGCACAACCCATTTCACCTGCCTAGCTGTCCTTTTCATGAACTCCTATTGTAGCAACTCCCATAAAAAAGTCAGTTCAGCTTTTTCCTGATATTTTGGAGGAAGTGTTTAACACGGAAGCTGCAAACTGGTTTTTTTAAGCTATTGTTTCTCAGTTGTCTTTAAATCTTGTTCAAACAGCATACTAAATTGCTTTCTATTTTCTCACGTATCAATGTGCACATTGAACAACCATTTCAAGCGTGGAAGCAGCAAAGGCAAGGCATGCTTTAGCAGAGTTGAAAGTTCCAGTTTATTTTTCCAACGGGCATAGCAGGGAAGAGTGCAGCATTGCAAAATGGAGTGTACAGATTATGGAAAGGCCAAAGCTTAAAGGACTTAAGAGCTCCCACTCACTAGTGAAGGACTTATCCAGAGGTTTCTCTATGACAGAGCATGTGGAGTCTGAACTACTGCTGCTGCTACTGCCTGGAAAACAGAAATGCGTCCCACAGAAAAACCCAGAGAGGAAGAAACATGCAGATGGGAAGTTAGTTCTAAAGGAAAGAAACCCAGAAGGGCCAGCAACCTGGTTCAAAAGGCACAAGTTCCCATTAGGGAGCATTTGCTAGGACCCCCCACCAGACTCCGCTTGCAAAGCCACCATTTCCCAGCACAAAAAGCATGCTCAGAAAGACACTTCAGTTAAAACCCATCCTAACCAGCCTACAGCTTAAAACAGCATGCCAAGGCAGCTTCCATTTCAAGCAACAACAGCACAGGAAACCAGATCATAGTGGAGCAGGCTGTGGGTATCTGCAGTAGCAGAGGATTCAGTGACCAGGAGTCCCTTCCAGTCTTACGCACATGGCAGTGTGTGCTTCTCTCTAGAAGGCAGAATCAGCTTACACAGGGACAGCTACGGTACGTACCACTGCTAGGCAGCACCCTTACTTAGGGAACTTAGCTAGAGTAGCTTGTTTGGAAGTTGAATAAGTCAGTTATTTGCCCTCTACTCCTTTCAAGCAGCATTTTGAAAGTGATTCCCTCCTGGGAGGACATTTGGGCAGGACTTGGCTTTTGATGGAGACAGTGGTCAATCTTTTTGCTTCTAGAAATTACCAGAAGGTGAAAAAAAATGAAGTTGTTACAGCTATCAAATGCATGACAAAGGTCATTTACAACTACTTGGACAGCTACTAAAATGAAGAGGGTGCATCGAAAGAGTGTCAAAATAAATTTCCTAGAGAAGCTGGAAGTTGAGGTGTAGCACAGGGCTGGACCTCTCTGCTCCCCATGAAGAAACAGAGAGGTGCTAGGGGCACGGCAAGCTCCCTGGAAGCCACACCATCCTGTGGTACACAGTGACCTGCAGTTCCAGGTTCAGCAACATCCCCTGGGCTTTAGATGTTACACAGCAGTTTAACACTGACGTAGGACAAAGCAAACTTCACCACAGGATTTCCAGAGCGCTCCCAAATAAGGGATGTGCAGCTCCCGCTCAGCTTTCCAGCTCGCACAGACACCCACAGGTCAAGTTTTATCTCTATCAACATAAAATAGGACACCAGAAGAGTCAGTTACTCAACATCCATAAGACGGATGAATCCTTTGCCTAAACCACAGCCAAAATTCCCCTCCAACCATTCCCATGGTTATAAAAAACCACGTCTGCCTACCATTGATCTTTGGTGTCTTCTTCCTCCCACCTCTGCGAGCAGGGGAAGTTCCACACCACCAGTCACAAGCCATACACAGCCACCTTGCGGCAACTGGGGAGCCACCACAAAAGGGAACGCTACCACAAGCGCAACTACCCAAGTGGAAGCAGACACTACACAGGTTCAGAGCTGTCCACCTACAGAGATGGCACCAAATAGCTTCGTTTCTAGGAGAGGCATGATAGTTGCAGCGGCAATAGGGCAGCTCTGTGACTCCATTTATCCCCTCCCAGCTCTGGCTACAGTTTCTGACACCAGTTTCTGCGTAAGAGGTGCATGGTGGCACTGACAGAAATCTCTGCTGACTTACCCCGCCGTTTCTTTCGCTTCTCCCCATCCTCTCCAATCTCCCCATCATCATCTTCATCCTCCTCTTCAGAATCACTGGTCTCAGAACCAGATATCTCTTCCCCTAGAACAGAAGAGTGTGCTTTTTGATGCGCTTTGCTTCACTTCGTATCAGCCTGTTACTGTGACAGCAGCATTTGTCCAAGCCCGGCAGCATCTGGCAACAGCTTGCTGCCATTCAGGAAACTTACAGAAAATAAAGATAAGCAATTTAATTCTGTGAAGCCAGTGTGTGTACATTAAAGCTCAAGTGGGTGCTTTTCAAGGGAAATAAAACATCCTTGCACTGCTGATGCGTTAAGCTACAGTTTTCCTAGCAGGATGTCCCCATACCTTCTTTTCTACCTCAGATGGAAGAGAAAATGGTCATGTGAACAAAACTCACAGACTGGCTACTTAAGTGGACACCTGGATACATGAAGCTAGATGGCTGTTAATGGAGAAAAATGTCCAGTTTCACAAGTGTTTATTATTGTTGCCATTGCAGACACTTAGATGTTTCAGGCTGAGTTTGGAAACCAGACTGAATAGAACGCAACATTCAACAGCCTGGCCTCCCAGTAACATTAGCAAACTCAAGGCTGTTTGTTCTGTAGCTTAGAGTCTAAAATTTAAGAAGCTACCCTCAGCCCACCAGGGATGAAACAGCTACACCCAGCTCCCAACTCCTCAAGAGTTACTGACCATTTTTGCTTCTCCCGAACAGGGCAGACTCCAAAGGGCAAGCCATGCTGGAGGTACTGCTACAGCTGTTCTGCACTGTGAGCATCTCTGGAGAGCTACGTTGTGCCAAGGTCACTGTTTAGTAAGCATCCCTCTGGCAGGGTCCTTCCATGTTGATGGATTAATAGTGTCATAAGGCCATGAAATTACAGGGCTTAAAAAAGCTTCTTGTTTACCCTGCAATGCGCGCTGGCAGCCCAGCAGGCCATCCGTGCCCTGGGCTGCATCCCCAGCAGTGTGGGCACAGGGCAAGGGAGGGGATTCTGCCCCTCTGCCCCGCTCTGCTGAGACCCCCCGGGAGTCCTGCATTCAGCTCTGGAGCCCTCAGCACAGGGCAGACCTGGAGCTGTTGGAGCAGGGCCAGAGGAGGCCCCAGAAATGATCCGAGGGCTAGAACCCCTCTGCTGGGAGGAAAGGCTGGGAGAGCTGGGGCTGCTCAGCCTGGGGAAGAGAAGGCTCT